GTCCCCCGAGCCCCCCACGTTCACCACGTACCCCAGGAGCCAGTACGCGTTCCCCTGGAACTGGAACCTTATCCCTCCACTCCTTCTGCATGGTACCCTGCATATATGTATAGATATGTAACCACGCACACATGTATACACACATGCACGTATATATATATATATATATATATATATATATGTAAAGAAAAAAGAAAGGTACCTGCGGTAGGAGACGGGGATGATGCCAGCTTTCCAGTTAGCGATCCTCATGAAAGCAGGCTTGGTCATGTCGAAGTGGACACGTGGCGGATTGCACCAGCCACCATGGTTGGAGTCTTGTGACCAGTTGGGAGGGCAGAGGTTGGTGGCGGTCACGACGGTGGATGTATAACCCCCGTAGCAATTCGGCGACGAGACGCATCGGATCTCGAAACATTGGCCGCAGGCGTAGCCGTCGTTGAACAACGTCGTGCTCAGCGCCGCCGTCGACAGACCGTAGCCATTCGCCATTTGGTTACCGTACCCACATGCCCCTCCTACCATATATACATAAATATATATAATATTGGGACGACGGTTATTATTATTATTACGAGTTTGTATATTTGACGTAGTTAATTGTTCTTTCATGCTCATCATTATATGATCCGAGAGATACACGTCGTTACAAGAAAATATAACTCTTTCTCCGGTATGATGATTTGACTCATTTGAGAATATTTTATACGAGAGATATTAAAAATTATAAATATTTTACATATTATCAAGATTTATGTATTACTACGTAATATCAAAATTAGATACATATCGTTACATATATAACATCGTTACAGGTATTATTTAAATTTTCTGTAATTTCTCTAACAAGAGACGTATATGAATTTTATAATTTTTTTAGTCATAATTAGTGAAAGATTCCGAACCATGTATATATGTATACATATAAATGATATTCTCAAAGAAACCATTGTTTTAGCAACTAATTAAGTTACCAACTCTATCCTAAAAGTATATCTATATGTATACACATATTATCACACCTTTAATATAGATGTTTTATTTGGTCTTGAATGCACAATTAATGGATGGAATTAATGGGTAAATATATATAACTATGTTAATAAATAGATATATATATGTACAACGATACCCATGGTGGGGCTGCCGGTTTCGTCGCCGTAGAAGGTGGCATAGGCCTGACGCCACATACTTCCGCCGTAAGGCCCGTAACCTCCATAACTTCCGGCGGCCATCGCCGGAGTTCCGACCATCGTCATCACCAAACACAACCAACACACATTTGAACTCATTTCGAGTTACTTAGAAGAAAAAAAAATCTTTGGAGAGGCTCCTCTTTTTTTTTCTGTGGATATGTGAAGTCTTGATATTAGATGCTGTTCGGTATTATATAAAATGAATAATGTATTATTTTTTGTGATATAAAGAAAAAAAAAATGAAAAGAGTTGCATAAATCGTCAACGTGAGGGACACTAAGAACAAAGTGAATGTTATGTTGTGCTTGACGTGCGTCCGTGCTTGTGTTGTCTTTGGTCCGCGCCTCCTAATCGTTAGCGTTTCTTCAATGAATGAATGGTCTAGTTTGGAAAGTTGACTGATTAGTTTACACTAATTAATACCAACTTTGTGATTACGTGTAAGGGTTCTTATAAAATTAAATTCATATGGAAATTTGTTTATTGTGAATTACGATTATATTTTACCGGCGTCTGGGTTTTTAAAATAAGAAATATATATATATATATATATATATAATGGTATTTGCGTATTTTAGTCAAGAATGTTTCTGCAAAACTATTATATCAAATGCCGACTTATCTTTTTTAATGCATAATGAAAAAAATGGATTGAGAAGAAACAAATTAATATAGAGAGAATCGTTATAAAAATCCTATATATTTATTTTAAATTAACGATTAAACTCTATACTTTTTTTCTTTGTAAATAAATTTTGAACTGTAGCGTTATGGAATATGGATATATTGACTAATAATCTGAAATATTGTAATTTATGGATCAAATAAAAATAACTCATTGTTTATTTGCTAAAAAAATATACGATTTAGTAGTTGATCTTAAAATTTACAGGTTTTTACAGTGATTCTCAAATTAATATATACACACCGTGAGATCAGAAACATAGAAAACCAAAACCCAAAGTTTTGGATATCGATTGGGAGATGTTACCGATCGACATGAAGATTTGGATTTTGGGTTAACAATTCAAAACAAAACCTTAACTATATATTATGGTGAATGTAAAAATTCAAACCAATCACCGTGTGCCATTAATGGTCAATGGAATCGACATTAATTAGGGTAATACAAATAGTAAATTAACCAAAAGATAGCCAAAAAAAAATTAGGGGTGGGCATTTCGGGTTTCGGTTCGGTATTCAAGCGGTTCGGTCCGGGAACGGTATTTTTCGGTTTTACAAAAAGTGTACCAAACTAGAACCGAATGTTAAACGGTCCGATTCGGTTCGGAACGGTACCATTATATGAATACCAAATAAGTACCAAACTATAATATCTACACATATATTAGTGGAATATTCGATTTTTAATTCGGTATTCATATGGTTCGGTTCGGTATTCATACGGTTCGGTTCGAAAACGATTCATTCGGTTCCATAAAAAGTGTACCAAATTAGAACCAAACGTTTTTCGGTTCGGTTCGGTCCGGTTCGGTTTCGGGAGGATCGGGTCGGTACTAAATTCCCGAACCGAAATGTCCAAAAAACTCTATATATTTGTGTATGTATATACGCACACATACATATATATGCATTCAAAATAGATTCAAAACTATCTTCTCGTTCTCATTATTTTGTCTTGAAGCTCTGCGAAATTGATGTTTCTCCCCCCGTCGACCTGCGCATTTTTAGGAGTCAAAAGCATTAGGGGAAAAAAATGTGTTTTTGCTCAATTAAAAAAATATAAATGATTACTAGATAAAGAAAAAAAAATACTAATGAAATAGAGAAATAATAAAATACGTGAGCAAATAAAATAAATTACCTGAGCAAAAATATTGTGCAAGAGTCTTCTTGATGATTGGAGGGTGGCGGAGGTGCATCTAAAGACATTAAACCCTTCTTCCTCGACAAGAACTTGAAGAACACTCGAGAGACAGAACTCGTGTCTGAAACAGCAGCTTATCACGATCTCAACTCCTCCTCCCAGGCATGGCATTATCACCACTTCAATGTCTTTGCCTTCACCACCGCAAGAACAGCTTGATGATGATGATGATGGTGATGAGCTGCACGCCTCTGTTGAAGATGGTGCTGCAGACCCAGATGCTCTGTTTTCGCCATCCGATATCTTCTTGATCTGATCCTTCTTCTCGTCGAATTCTTTGATCCTTTTCTGTAAGTCTTTGATGTAATCCACGGCTTCTGAGACGAGATCCGACGATGAACGCTTTCCCTATATATACACACACACACACAAAAAGACAACATGTAGCTTGATATATACGTTAAAAGTGTATATTAGACGTTATATATATATACATATATATATATATAAAGCAATTATATACCTTAACATATTGAAGCGGCAAGAGAGATCTCAAGTTCTTGAAAAGGGACGAGACTTCTTGTCTTCTCTGCCTCTCGACATCTCTATGTCTCATTCTCTTCTTCAACCTCTCGTCACTTCCTTCCACTTCTCGGCCACTGATCTCGTCACCTTTTCTTTTCCTGTCGTCTTTCGAATCCGTATTCCGATCACTAATGTCGGAATTCCGAAACGATATGAGCTTGGAAGGAACCGACGTCGGATCGGGAAACTCGAACCCGAATCCATCTTGCTCGATCAAATCCGGCGTGAAAAAGGAGGAAATGAGATCCAGGGAAGGAACGTAATCCATTGGGATTATGGGGTTCTTTCTGTGAGTTCTTTGCTGTGAAGAGAGAGGGTCTTTTATATATCTGTGACTGTGACACGAATAAACAAAAAAATATATATTAAAGAATCTCCATAATTGTTATTTGTAGTTTATAATAATTTAACTTAGCACTGTACATTTGGTGGCTCTATTAAATAATAATTGACATCGAGGGCTAGGGGGAATATATACATATATATATATATATATGTTTAAAATGTGACTGAAAAATACAGCTCAATTCTTTACACCAACTTACCTTCGTGTCCTGAAATCATTGAATTCTCTGTCAGACAAATAAATAAATAATAATAATAATAATAAATTAATAATAGTTGGAGGTTTCACTGTTGATTAGAATAATCGTTTAATGTTTATTTAAATGGTCAATATAACATTTTTTTTTATATAAATGTGTTGGCTTTCCTTTATTCCTGATTGTTATTATTATATAACTATATTCGACGCCCACATTATTTAATGTTTTCTATATTCAACCACTATTAACAGTCCCCTGCATATCTTTTAAAGAATTCTAAACAAGTTTTCACTGTAATTCATAAATTGCTCGTGATAAAAAAATAAAATAAAATCCCTACAATAAATATCGCATCAAATTGATCGGTTATGACATCTAGGCTCTTGCAGAAGCGATTGTTATATATATGTATATATATACGCATACGCACGAGAAAGTGTTTATACATATTATTTTTGTCACGCCCAATAAATACAGCGGATAATACCGATTATATACATTCAAAACTAATAATTAAGTAAATCAATCCATAATGATAATGGAAGGAACTAAAAAAAAATCCAAAAAATATATATAATCAGAAATCAAGTGCGTTGAAATCATTTTTGTTTCATCCAATAAATAGTTGACACGTGTTAATCGCTAGAAGGTTTTCGCCTTACATCGACATACAGTGCAATGCACAACATAAGATCAAATCTGTTTTGAGGTCATGTGTATCATACCATAAAACAAATTTTATGATGATTTAATAATTTATACATAAAAGATAATTATTTAGGTAATGGATCGTTGTATTTCTAGTTGATACCCTAGAAAAATAATATTGTATGGCGAAAATAATAATAATACTGTAAACTAATAAATATGTTTGTTTATTTTTAAACAGTATACATCTAATATATATATATATTATAACTTGAGTTGGGATTTTTATATACTTTTAAAAATGTAACTTTAAGTTTTTTATTTGTTTTTCTTATCAAAACAAGTTAAACAACCCTAATCCAGTTCGAGATGGTGTTAAATCATATATACCGATCTATAAAAGTAAAAGGCTGCTTAAAATAATAACTCAATATAGCTAATTTAATAAATATAGCCAAACGCGATTGAACAAGATTTTGACTATACGTATATCACACATTTTTTGCTATATCTGAAAATATGAAATAACTCATAAAAAGATTTATGGAGAGAATTAAATACAAATAATAGTAAATAAATAACATAAAAAAGTTTATGAGAATGTCATGCTTACGTGATATTAACAAAAAAAAGTAAAAATCTTATAGTTAAATTAATTCAGGTAACCTTTTTTAAAATTGAAAAGTTTGCAAAATTATCGTATATATATAAACACAAAGGGCAATAATTAGGTGGCTTAAATGCAAAGGGTGACATGGGTGCTTAAATAACCGTTAAATGATTTCAGCAATAAGTGCTGATCTTATATCATTAAATTGTACATGCCTGTTGGGGTCAGGATTAGGTCTGACATTTTGATATCGGGAGGTATGGATCCACGTCGGTCCATGCTTCCAGACGATTGTATGACGACCATGATGATGCATGCATCGTATATACGTGTGTGTATTATATACATGCATAAGATAATGTTACATTACATATGAACTCCATGTAATAATGGACTCAACTGAAATTTCAGCTCGTCAACTTTGCTAACCATATAGACAAATATTTAATTGATGTCATAAATGCTTAATTCAAAATATGTAGAAAATTAGACATTGAACTTAAGTTTATATAATGGTTTCTGATAATAGTTGCTACATATAACATAATAATAAAGTATTCCACTTTGATTAGAATGTCGAAACATTCAGGTACTAAAATGACAATTTTAATATTTTGGGAGCTACAATGGGTAATACACAAAATTAAGGTACTCTTTTGTAATATTCCTTGCGAAGAGTCCTTTGATGAAAACAAAAAAGAAGTCCGGTAGAGCAGTCGGCGAAGACAGCCGTGTCTGGCGAGATGGCGAAGAGGATAACGAAAGATGAAGTGATAGAGAAGCTGAAGGACGACGGAGATTTCGATCGTCTCCGTCTCCAAATCATTCGCCGACTCAAGGACAATGTAATCTTCTTCTAATTCCCTTCCGCGTCTCATTTTGATCTTCAGTTAGGGTTTCGGGGTTTAGGAGCGTTATCTGTAAATCTATGCCTATGACGGTGTTTGTTTGTGCCTGATTCAGTCGTATTTTGCTTGTGAATTTGACTGATATATGAAGTAAACCCTGCTCCCGATCATTCAGCCTAATCGATCTAGTTAATTCGATTTGAATTGGGTAAATCGATTTAGGAGAAGATGTTTGATTCATGCTTGGACTTGGTAATTGGTTCAGCGAACTGAATTTCAGTGCTCTTGGAGTACTAGAGCTTTATTCTAGGGCATTTAGTTGTGGAATTTGTTGTTCTGTTTCGTTCTTATCATTTGTAACATGGAGTAGGATCAGAATGGAAGGATATAAAAGGGCTTATCTTAGTTAGCCTCTCGTGCTGCCATGGTTTCGGCATTGCCAGAAAACATAATTGGGTTTGGTGGTTGTGGAAAACAAGAGTTTTGTGTCTTAAGATATTGGAACCTGATTTAAAAGTTTATTGTAACATGGAGTAGGATCAGAATGGAAGATATAAAAGTGCTTATCTTAGTTAGCCTCTTGTGCTGCCATGGTTTCAGCATCGACAGATACCGCAGCGGGGTATGGCGGTTGTAGAAAACAACGATTTCGTGCCTTGGAAGATTTTGGAATCTGATTTAAGTGTTGATCTTAAGTCTAGGATAACTTGGATAAGTATAGCTCATGTTGTTTTAGACGTTCATCTAGTAAACTGTTATATTGACCTCTGATGCATAGAGGGTTCTGCAGTATCCTCCTGTCTAACAGGAACGAACGAGTATGACCCGTCATATATGAAAGGTCTTTTGAAATAATTGTTACGGCAAGGGTGATACTTGGTACTCTGTTTTGATGTAAACCGAGTCTAACCAAGTTGGACACTAGAGGGAGAAATAGGCTAATTGAGGGCATTTCGATTTGGTGAAACTGGGTGTTCTGAATTTTTGTGAGCATATATTTTCTCTCTTTTTTCCTCCCGCTATCAGTTTAACTCCAAAAGCATCTTGAGCCTCTTGTATTGCACAGGATATGTTTTTTGACTGAATAATGCATCTTAAATTGCTTGAAATTAAAACTATGTTGCAGGAGGAATTACGCAACAACTTGATCTCGGTTGTCAAGCAGTCAACAGCTCTGAATCGCCCGGGTGCTCAGAGTATGAGGCCGAGGCAACTCTCTGATGCCATATTTGAAGAGGTTGGGTAAGTCAGAGGCTTCTTCTATTGCGTTAATAGCATCTTTCTAGTGGCTCGTGGTATGATAACAGAACGTGTGTGTTTGTGTGTGCTTGAGCATGAGATTGCATTTGCCAGACTACATTCATTATAGGTTAGTAAAAGAAAGATTATGGATTTGTTAAAACTCAGGAAACAATTCTTGTCAATGTCCAGGAGCCAAATGATGAGCCAACTATCTGAAAACTTGTGGGGAATAATAAGATCAGAGGAGGGAGGCGTGAAGAACGAAATCAGAGAAACCGTCCAATCAGTCTACGATAAACTATCGAATCCCGGGGGAATCCAAGAAGAAGAGAAGGCAGGACCATCTACCCGAGTAGCCTCGCGGCATCAGAAGCAAGACGGCTATAACACCCGAACACCGATCAAAGCCGAGGAATCCACACCAGACAATGACCCAAAAGAGCCGCCGGGTTTCAGCCTCATGAGTAGTAATCACCATAAAAATGGGAATCAAGAACCAGATTTGATTCAACAAGCCGGAGAAGAGAGAGCAGTGGAACCATGTAGTAGTAGAGGAGTGGATATGCAGGAAAGAAATCTTACAAATGAAGACAGTGACGAAGACCCTGAAGTCCCTCCCGGTTTTGGCTAAACAGCGTTGTTGTCTTGTCTTATCTCCACATGATTCATCATTTTTTTCTCACAATGCATAACCTTTTTTTTTTGCTTGCAATCCGTAACTTAACTTCTCTGCTCTGATATAATATAGATGCGATTATGGTATTTATCGAATAATTAGTGCCTCTTAATGGAATTATGAAAATGATGTATAGTTAGAGACTTTTTTGTATGGGCAGGACAGTCCTAACGTTGATAATGCCCCCGTGTAAAAAGAGCTGGAAGAATCTTTTTTTAAAATAAAAAAATAGAATATTTTTATAATAAATATTAAAGTTAAGATATTTAGATAACACAGGAAAAAAAATATACCTCACAATTTTTTTTTTGAAAGTTTCAATAAAGTTCATTTTTTTTTATTAACTGGGTGTATATAGAAATAGAAGCCCCCAATTTATGACCTTTATAGGAAATAAAGGGCGGAATGAACTCAGACGAAGAATGGCTTCATTTCTAAGGTCTGTGACCGCGACTGCAGGTGCCGCGTCTGCGATTACGATCGCGTTTGCGTTCTCTTCGTCTTCTTCTTCCTCCTCTAATTCTCAGACTTCCACCTACCCTAAATCCCAACACCTCTCTTTTCCTTACCTCTCGCGAACGTCGTCGCGAGATTTGGGACTTGTTCGAAGTTTCGCTAGCTCTTCCATGGCGGCTGCTCCCGCATCTGATCGTAAAGGCTCTCAGGTTTTGGTTTTAGTGTTTGAGATTTTGCGATAATCTATTTCCTATTCTGCGCTTTCTTCTTTCTTAATCTGATGATTTTGGAGTTGATTTTGTTATTTTTGTCCTCTTGTTCATTATCCGGATATGCAGGGGGATTCAGCCATGCCTGAGCTGCTTGTAAGTCTCTTCTCCCGTTTTCTTTGTTTTTCTACTTTTGCCTTAGTTTTGGAGCCATTTGAGTATCGATTTTTTGAATCAGCCAAAAGGGTCTTGAGAATTTTATGGTGCGTTGGTGTAAGATGCGTGATTAAACCTATATTATGTTAGAAAATCTTGTTTAAAAACCTAATCTGTACTATTGTGCTCAATTTTTCAATGAAAATTAATATTTTAGTTGAATTTTCCTTCCGAGCTTTGTGAATTAGTTGTCTTGTTTCCCATTTTTGTAAGGATCTGTGTATGCCTTTGATTAGCTATGTTCATGATGTATCATTTCCAGACTGAGTTTATGGTGGACATGAAGTGCGAGGGTTGTGTTAACTCTGTCAAGAGCAAGTTAGAAACTGTTCAAGGTGGGAAGTAAGGTTTCCTTTTCGAATTTATTGACCTCGTATTCTCTTAGTATGATGTTTTTTCCATGGCTGATTTATCCGTTTTTTGCATTTGGAACGATGAAACTCGATGTTAGGCATTAAAAATGTGGAGGTGGACTTGACCAACCAAGTTGTGAGGATACTTGGATCATCTCCTGTGAAGACAATGACCGAAGCTTTGGAGCAGACCGGTCGGAAAGCTCGCTTAATTGGACAAGGAGTTCCTGAAGGTTGGCTATTTCATCTTGGATTTACTTTTTTTCTTCCATTTAAAAGAAAAGCTAGCGATTGAAAGAACTAGAAAACATTATACAATACAACTGACAACGCCATTGGCCTTCCTTTCTCAGTTGTCCTTTGGCTTCACAGTACAGATTAGTCTCTCAACTCTCTGTATAATAAAGTGGTAAAGTTTGTTTTTGCACCTTATTAGGTATAGGCATTCTATCTTTCGCTCAAGATCTCTCTAAGCGTTAGATTGGTTTGAGTGAGGGCGTGATCAAGTTGTAGACCAGGCAGAGTTGATGGGTTTATACCGATTTCATTACTCCATTGTCTTTTAAAGTTGCGAACAAAGATGTGCATTAAAGAGTACTTGTTCTTTTAGAAGTAGCAAGGTTGCACACTAATTCTAGGAGAGATCACGTGATTATCAAACTCGTGATGGATCATGGTTAAAATATTCTTAAATGAGCTTCCGTCCCTTGGTATGGCAGTTTGGAATTCATTTTACATGACCTAGTAGAGGAATTTTACGACTCAAAAGGGCTACTGTGGTTTATATGTTGCAGATTTCTTAGTTTCAGCTGCTGTAGCAGAATTCAAAGGTCCAGACATTTTCGGGGTGGTACGATTTGCTCAGGTTAACATGGAGCTTACAAGAATCGAGGCCAACTTCAGTGGATTATCACCAGGAAAACACAGTTGGTCCATCAATGAGTTCGGCGATCTCACAAGAGGAGCAGCCACCACAGGGAAGATATACAATCCATTGAAAGATCAAACCGGCAGAGAGGTTCCGCCCAAACATCTGAATCTTCCATGTTCATATATATATATATATTCTATCATAACCCGATACTCCAAATTGTGATATTTCTCGGCCGTTTTCGTTAATTCTCACAAGTTTCTCTGAGTTTTCAGCTATTGGGCGACCTGGGAACACTAGAGGTGGACGAGAAAGGAGAGGCCTTTTACTCGGGAAAGAAAGAGAGACTGAAGATCGTGGATCTGATCGGGCGGGCGGTGGTTTTATACGAGACGGAGGATAAGTCGGCGACTGGGATCACGGCTTCAGTGATAGCCAGAAGCGCCGGAGTTGGAGAGAACTACAAGAAGCTTTGCACTTGTGATGGAACTACCATTTGGGAAGCAAGCAGCAATGACTTTGTGACCAGTAAGGTATAAAGTTTAAAACCTAATTATAACAGAAGGAATTGAAACTCTTTGTGTTAAGTTTGAAAATAAGGTTTTTCATGTAACATTATATTCATGTTGTCAAGATTCATGCCTCTGTAAACTTGAACAAACTCATGTTTCATGTCTTTGTACGGCTCAGCATTTTATGAGAAATATAATTGACGAACTGTGAAATCTCTGTTTTTATTTGTATAGATAAAATTTTAATTGTCTGTTTCACAAAAGGTGTCGTGGTGTAGTTGGTTATCACGTCAGTCTAACACACTGAAGGTCTCCGGTTCGAGTCCGGGCGACGCCATATTTTATTTTTGACATTTTCTTAATAAATATTTTTCCAGTCTGGCTTTGGGCCCACCGAAAATGGGCCGCACATAGAATGAAACATAATAGATTCCCACATGTATATGGCCCACCTATTTTTTGTTACATTATCTATAAAGTTTTTTTAATTAAATGATTGAAATACCGAATATATATTTATTCCCTCTTCTCTGAGACATGGAATATAGTTTACACATTTGGGTCTAGGAAGGACAAGATATTCCAGGTTAAGAAACAAGCGATGCTGTAAACCAGCTAGTTCCCAAATTCATTTATATATTTATTTTCTTTAATAGAGTGAATAATTATTTTGGTGCATGCCCACAAGAATGACGTGGCATAATCATTCATCATCATTTTTGAGGATTGGAACTGTGTACAAAAGGAGACATATTTTGGTAGAAAAGCAAAAATACGGATGAGTTTGCTGGTCCTTCAAAGGAAAGATAAACTCATATCACTATCACGTAGAGAGAGAGAGAGAGAGAGAGATTTGGATGGGCATTATTATTAATATTGCCTTGTTATATATATATATATATATATATATATAGTTGATATGTAATGAGTATAGGGATATTAAATTTAGTTTTGTTCATCATCCATTTACATGATTTATATTGTCAACCTGCCTATACCACTATGTTTGTTCATTATTTACGTTCTGCCAAATTTTAAAAATCAATAATTAATTATATTGTTAAATAATAAACGTTCTTATTTACTTTACTTAAACCGAATTTATCTTTGACATTATTCCCCACTCTCTTTTTTTTTCCATTTTAAAAGATCTGCACCGTCAAGTTGCTAGCTAGCTTTGCTTCTTTTTTTTCAATCACTTTTTTTTTTCTCATTTTTTTATTTAAGAAAAATGGGAAACAAATCAATTACATTATATATAAAATTGATTAAAAAAATATTGTACACCCGAATTTCAACGACAGCATATATGAAAAGATTGGAAAGTGCCAAAATCATTTATGAAAACATAATAACGGTTTTTTTATGATAAAATATTTTTTAAAAATGGCATCATATTTTGGGAAAGGAGCGAGGAGAATATTGCATTCTATTGGCCCAATGGCCCAATTTGTTGGGATATTACTTTAGGAAAAAAATCCCATTAAAATAACTAGCTAAACAAAGAAATGAATAGGATAGATATCGTGGGCACATAATATATATGTATATATATATATATGTGTATAAAAGTTTATTTGATAATGTTGACAAGATTTTTAGATATGAAACAGTTTTGTTCCTAAATAAATAAAAAAATATTTATGTTTTTAAGGCCAAATCTATTCAATATCGATACCTATCATCGAATCCAATCGGACGGATGAAAACCTGCGATTCTCTGAACCGCGTCGCAGAGGATTATTCTCCTTGATCTCAACATGGACCTGTTACCGACACTCTCACTCGTTTTCGGACCCCTAACACAAGACTTGGAATCTTAAAAATAATTTGTTTTTTTAATTCCCTCCAATTTATCCGATCCAACGGCTCAAAACTCCCTCAGCCAAACCCACAAATCTGAATCTCCACCGTCCGATCAGATCCACGCATACAACATCATCTTCATCTTCCTCTTCACTCTCACACTCTCAGATCTCAGAGCCAAAACAAAAAAAAAAAGGCTCTCAAAGGAAAAAAAAAAGAGAATACATTCTCCAAAAGAGAGAGCTTTAGAGTCCTTCAACAATGGTGGAGGCTCAGTCATGGACGACACGGCGGATGAGCAACCCTAGATTCGACCCTTCCTCCACCATCACCGCCGCCGGCGGAGCAACAACCACCTCCTCCGCCTCCGTCGTCGATATACCGTCAACCCCGCCTCACTCCGCCGCATCCGGGAAAGGGTTCTCCGTCGTGTCTCCGTCGATCTTGACGGCGGTGATAATCGCCGGGTGGTTCGGTTCGAACATAGGTGTCCTCCTCCTGAACAAGTACCTCCTCGCTTACTACGGATTCAGATACCCAATCTTCCTCACGATGATCCACATGCTCTCCTGCGCCGCCTACAGCTCCGCCGCAATCAACCTGGCCGGGATAGTGCCACGTCAGCACATCCTCTCCCGCCGGCAGTTCCTGAAGATTCTCGCCCTCTCCGCCATCTTCTGCTTCTCCGTCGTGTGCGGCAACACGTCCCTCAGGTACATCCCCGTCTCCTTCAACCAAGCGATCGGTGCAACGACGCCGTTTTTCACCGCCGTGTTCGCCTTCGTCATCACCTGCAAAAAAGAATCCGGCGAAGTCTACTTGGCTCTGGTTCCTGTCGTTCTGGGGATTGTCTTGGCTTCGAACAGCGAACCCAGTTTCCATTCCTTCGGATTCATCGTATGTGTCGGATCCACAGCAGGGAGAGCTCTGAAATCAGTGATTCAGGGGATTCTTCTAGCTTCCGAATCCGAGAAGCTTCACTCCATGAATCTCCTCCTCTACATGGCTCCAATGGCGGCTTGTATTCTGTTGCCGTTCACTCTCTACATCGAAGGCAACGTCCTTAGGGTTCTGATCGAGAAAGCTCGGACAGATACGTTCATCGTGTTCCTACTTGTCGGAAACGCGACAGTGGCGTATCTGGTGAATTTGACCAACTTCTTGGTGACGAAGCACACGAGTGCTCTGACATTGCAGGTCCTCGGCAACGGCAAGGCGGCGGTGGCCGCCGGAGTTTCGGTTCTGATTTTCAGAAATCCGGTGACGGCGATGGGAATCACCGGATTCGCCGTCACCATTATGGGAGTGGTTCTCTATAGCGAAGCTAAGAAGAGATCCAAATTGGCTAACCAGAAGTGACGAGGAAGAGGAGGAAGAAGAAGATTGGATTAAACCGGTTAAGTGGTTATTTCCGGTTTAGTGTTCCGATTCTTTGTAATTCTGCAATTACTGTGGTCCGGTCCGGTCCGGTCCGGTTTGGTAAACCCGTGGAATTGGGGGTTATAGTCACAGAGGTGGTTTTGTTTCAATTGTATTATATGGTGAGATTGAGGGAAATTATATATATTATATATAACAAAGGTGGAAAAGTAGGGGCAGAATTTAAAAGAATTAAAGATTGTCTCTTTTTTTTTTTTTGTAATTTTTGTTCTTTTTTACGTTGTTTGATCAAATTTGTGGAAACACAGCGAATCAATTTCAAATAATAAAATACTTTCTACAAATTCTGTCCTTTGGTTAGGCGAATTCGCAATTTCATTTGGTTGGTTAAGTTTGGACCTTATTTAATATGCACCACATTTTAGTCCAAATATTTGCCTCCGTTTATATATATATATATGGAAGCAATAAATGTGTGGGTTAAGACACTGATATTTTAGCTAATGTAATTTAATTAATCATAGAGTAAGACTATTGGTTATATAACCTTGAAGGTGATGATTTAACTTCATCAGAAGTCACTTCATATTCAATGCAGAAACAATTATAGTTGTTGTGGTCTCATTCTCATTATTACCACATTTCAAATATATATATATATATATATATATTATTTATTTTTTTAGCTCTAGGTTTATTAAAACAGTTTGGGGGGTTACTGATATTGATAGGTTAATATTATTTTTAGTTTATTGTTTGGATTAAAACATGTTTGTATAGATTAACAATAACTATGATGTATCAATAGGACCAAATTTAATTAATTTAAGGATAATAACATGTCTCAATGTATAAAGTGAGGTGTTACATATGTTTTATACACAGATATGGCAAAAGTATAATTTGATTATACTTTTGCAGAATTGAGCTTATGTTATATGACAGCTTATGTTATATAGTTTCTCTACGGCTCTTTTAAAGATCTAAAATCTGGCCCAATTATTTAGGTTTATGTATTGGCCGGATCCAAATATTTGATTCTCAGCCCAAATCAAATCAAATTGGGTTATGAAGGGTCCCCATCTGAAAATATATTTACACGAGAGAAAAAAAACTTTATTGTAAACTTATTATGTTACATTATTTATTTGCGAAAAAATGTGTATTCGAATTCAAATTGATAATTATAAAATTCTTTAAGAACCCGAATTCCACTAATATGTTCCAAAAAAAAACTTAAGGTAATTATAATTTGCAGTACAACGAAAATAAAAATCAGATTTTTGCGTAATGAGATTTCTCCTATGGAAATTATAATTTATTTTTCAGAAAAAGAAATGATATATTATAATGCCGCAAAACAATAAACATTCAGCAAATATCAAAATATAAGCAGAACTTTGTAATGCCGTTTTTATTTTCCCGAATATCGTTTGGTTGTGGTTAGTCTAAGATTAAATAATTAAAAACTCTTTTCGTTTGGTCCAAAGTAATGATTTTAAAAAAGGGAAAATCGCCATAAAAACCTTGTACTCTTCCCAGGTCAACGAAAAAACCCTGTACTTTTTTGCTTACCAATTAAACCCTATATTTGGTATGATTAACCAAAAAAACCCCAAACTTGTTAATAATTCACCGAAAACCCCCGGCGCCTGCCAACTCAAACAAAAATGATGATGTGGCAATGACTTGGCTTCCAAGTTATGTACACATCATCAAAATTATGACACATCATCATTTTAAATAAAAATAAATAACATAATTTATTTAAATTAATTTATATACATATAAATTCACATATATATATATATATATTAAATATATATTAAATATAAAATTACTTATAACTAATAAAACACACACATATATATATATATTATTTATAATATAATTATAAATAATATATATATACATATTATTTTTTTAATATATTGTATATATATTAGTTATAATTACTTTTATTTTAATATGGATATTAGTTATATATATATGTTACATGTATAACTAATATATATATATACATATTATTTTTAATAGATACATTATATGTGTATGTGTTAGTTATAATTATTTTTGTTGTAATATGTATATGTATTAGTTATACTATATAATATATATATATATATATGTATATTGTAGTTATGTGTGTAATATATTGTAGTTATACATATAACATATACATATATAACTAATATACATATTACAATAAAAATAATTATAACTAACATATACACATATAATATATCTATTAAAAATAATATGTATATGTATATATATTAGTTATACATATAACATATATATATACAACTAATATACATATTAAAATAAAAGTAATTATGTTTGTAATGGTGATGTGTCATAATTTTGATGATGTGTACATAACTTGGAAACCAAGTTATTGCCACATCATCATATTTATTTGAATTGGCAGGCGCAGGGGGTTTTCGGTGAATTATTAACAAGTTTGGGGTTTTATTGGTTAATGATACCAAGTATAGGGTTTAATTGGTAAGCAAAAAAGTATAGGATTTTTTCGTTGACCTAGGAAGAGTACAGGGTTTTTATGGCGATATCCCCTTTAAAAAATAATGAGGTTATGATTATTTCAAAAGAAGCCATCAGTAACACGAGTGACTAAACCCACTTGATTTCTTGCCAATGTTTGTCTTACTCTAAAAAAATATACATAAAATAAAAAATATTCAATTAAATATAAAATTATATGTATATTAATATATAAAGATATATTCAAACATGTTGATATCCCACTGAGAATAAATTTTATTCTATATGCAAATCAGGGGGAAAGTATATATGTATCTAATTATATATATAAATAAACAAAAAAAACTTTACCAAAAAAAAAGTTCTAAGAAACTACAAACATAGAGGGACCCAAGAAAACGAGAGGGGCAATATGGTAATTTCACGGGACCGTCGGTCCGAGGAACGGTCGCCGCTCCCACACACATCCCATAGAGAAAATCGAAATTTCAATTTTTAAAAAATAAAAATTTCTCTAACCTATTGGGTTCGCCGTGGACCCGATAACCCGTTTCCCGACCCGGAAAAACTCCATTTTTTTCTCGAGTTCAGTATAATAATGACTCGTGCCGGAGCTCGCCGGAGCCCGACACCGGAATCAAAATCATCCGCCGAAGGTGGCGGAGGCGGAGGCGGCGGAGGAACTACCGCGATGAGAGTCATAGTGCCTTTACAAGGAGTGGTTCAGAATCGCGGCGGTTTGTTCCTGGGCTCGGTCATTCCATGTGGTCTCTTCTACTTCCTTCAGCTTTACCTCAAACGCAACCGGAGAACCGAACCCGACCCGACGACCGACCAGTCCTCCGGTTCTTCACCCGGGTCTGGTTCTCCGGGTTCGGCCCGGTCGCAATCCGCTGGGCATCTCACGGAGCTCACTGGGTTACCTCGGTCTCTCTCTCGGGTTCTTCTCTGGCCGAGAAATTCGGGTGGACCCGTTTCGGTTTCGGGTTCGGGTCGGGCGAATACTGTCATCAAGGGCGGTGACTCGCCTTACGACGTGGGGATGAAGCTGGTCGAGGAGGACCCGTATGACGAATCGGGTAACGCGGATGGCGTCATCGAACTCGGTTTAGCTCAGAACAAGGTTGGCTTTTTCTCGGAATTCTCGAAAAGTTTTCATTTTTTCTGTTGATTTGTCATTCGAAATCGATCATTCTCGAATCCCCTCTGTAGTTTTTCTTGAGGATTGGCTTTCGGAGAATCCGAGGGAAGCAGTTTCAGGACGACTGAGTATAAGTGGCACTGCTTCTTGTCTTCCCTCCAATGGACAGATGGAGCTGAGAATGGTTGGTCCCTGTGTTCATATGCATGGATCTCTCTCTATCTCTGCATTAGCTTGAAGAAATGAAATGCCCATTTGTGATGACTGCAATGCTCATGGAGAAGATGTGGATTTGATATTTGTTAAGAGGGTGACATTATAACATACATATGAATGTTGAATCATGAAATATGAACCTTACATCATATATCCGCAAAGTTTTCTGTTATGGAGTCTTTATGTGCTATTGAGAGAAATTTCTGGGCATTGTTTGTTTTTCTGGGGACAGGCTGTTGCAGGGTTCATGTCTGAAGCAACCAAGAATTCGGTTTCCTTTGATCCATCACAGTTATTATTGACTTCTGGTGCATCATCAGCCATTGAGATTCTTTCTTTTTGCTTAGCTGATCCTGGAAACGCTTTCCTGATTCCTACACCATGTTCCCCAGGGTAAGGTATACAGCATAATGCTATGAGAAATGATGAATCTTCGAAGAACGAGTTTTTCTTTTCGGGTTTTTGTTTTCTGTGTGCTTGAACTGAAACGTTACCAATAGCTTCAACTTCTGTTGTACAGATTTGATCGGGACGTGAAATGGCGAACTGGGGTGGATGTCATACACGTTCCTTGCAGAAGTGCTGACAACTTCAACATATCTGTGAGTGCACTCGATCGGACATTCTGTCAGGCCAAGAAACGTGGTGTCAGAATCCGTGGCATCATAATTTCTAACCCGTCGAATCCAGTGGGAAGTCACTTGAGCAGAGAAAACCTCTATGCCCTTTTCGACTTTGCCCGGGAGAGAAACATCCATGTAATCTCCAACGAGATCTTTGCAGGATCGGTCCATGGGAATGAAGGAGAAGGGTTTGTGAGCACGGCTGAGATCGCAGGCACAGACGAGAATCTTGACCGGGAAAGAGGTCGGAAACGCGACAGTGGCGTATCTGGTGAATTTGAAAGATATTTAGATAACACAGGAAAAAAAATATACCTCACAATTTTTTTTTTGAAAGTTTCAATAAAGTTCATTTTTTTTTATTAACTGGGTGTATATAGAAATAGAAGCCCCCAATTTATGACCTTTATAGGAAATAAAGGGCGGAATGAACTCAGACGAATATCTTTCATTGGTTTCAGAGTCGGTGCCATCTATTCCTTGAACAAGAACATTCTAGAAGCTTCCAGAAAGCTCATGAGGCTCTCACCCATATCATCTCCGACTCAGCATTTGCTCATATCTGCACTTTCCAACCCAAGTTTTGTTCAGACATTTGTGAAAACCAACAGGGAGAGATTACAAAAGATCTACACAGAAACTGTGAAGGGTTTGAAAGATTTGGGGATAAGCTGCAGCAGAAGCAATGGAGGATTCGTCTGTTGGGCTGATCTGAGAGGATTCATGTCCTCTTACACTGAGAAAGGCGAGATTGAACTGTGGAACAAGCTCTTGAACATTGGCAAGATCAATGTAACTCCAGGATCTTGTTGTCATTGTATAGAACCAGGATGGTTCCGGTTTTGTTTTGGTAATTTGTCTGAGAAAGACGTGCTTGTAGTTATCAACCGTATCCGAAAGGTAGTCTGCATTGAGTAAATAAACCGGGAATTGGTTGAATCATAACCGCCCGGTTAACCCAATTTTTCGTATACACCAACAAACCCGAATGAAAAAATCGATTCTTTTTTTTTTATTTCAAAAAAAAATCAAGGGGAAAGAATGCAGATTTCATAGAAAAAAATTGAACCTAAGACACCGTAACTGTGATAACCTAAACCACAAAAGAATGAACTTTCCCTTGATCTCTCTTCCTAGTCACTGCATATTTCTCTGCAATCTTTGTGCAAAAACTAAAGGAGTTTCCTCAAGAATCCATGCCATTTCTGATAGATTCAAGAACCTGAACAACTTCAGCCATGCTCGGCCTCTTCAGCGGATTCTCAGACGTGCAAATCAACCCGAACTTCATGACTTGTATCAGTTCATTCTCTTCAAACCCTCTCAACCTTCTGTCAAAACAATCAGAAGCCGAACCCGTTTCCAGCAAATCCCTCACATAATCCCTCAAGATCAATACCTCGTTTTTCCCGGGAGATTCCACTGGTTTTCTACCTGTAACCAGCTCAAGAAGAATCACACCATAGCTGTACACATCACATTTCTCACTCACTCTCAAGCTCTGTGCTAGCTCTGGAGCTATATACCCAACTGCACTGTGAAACTGTTTGTTCATACCGTAGCTGTCTAGAACCGGAAGGAACTTCCCCAATCCGTAATCCGATAGCTTTGCCTCGTAGTTTTCGTCCAGAAGTATGTTGGTTGACTTCAGATTCAGATGAAGAATCGCGGGTTTGCAGTCGTTGTGAAGGTAAGAGAGTGCCTTTGCCGTTCCTAATGCAATCTGGAATCTCCTATACCAATTCAGATCGGTGTTTCCATGGCTAGTGCTCGTTCCCGGGTAGATTCTCAGGTGTAGATTGTCGTAGAGGCTTCCATTCGGGACAAATTCAGAGAGAATTAACTGCATTGTTGAGGAAAAGTAGTAACCTTGGAAGGAAGCAAGATTCGAGTGTTGCAGACCTCCAAGCTGCCCGATTTCTTGCTCGAACTCTTCCTGGTTTCTGATCCTTCCTAAAGTATCGAGCTTTTTCACTGCAATGGAAACCCCGCCTTCGAAAGTCGCTTTATAGACCGTTCCAATTGATCCGACGCCTATTATGTTCTCCTTGTCAAGCAGGGCTTTAGTACCGGCCTCCCAGTCCTCGTACTTGGATGGCAAGCTCTTGCTGAAAAGAACAAGTTTCCCGATAATGAGGCCACTTGATTCGGTTGAAGCCAGAGGAGTGGTTTCGATAGCAAGTCTTTCTTCATCTCGTTTCCTTTGACGGGTCCTCAGGTTCAAGACAAGCACTATGCAGACACCGACAAGGATGACAGCTGCTGCAATGATAACAATGATAACAGAGATGCTTAGAGCTTTAGGGTTTCTGGATTTTGCTGCGGTTCCATGTGAATTGCATGGTGTTTTGAGAGGATCGCCGCAAAGGAAAGGGTTGTCGGAAAATGCAGATTCTTTGAAAGTTTGGATTGTAGGAACAGGAGGGATAATGCCCGAGAGGTTGTTGTGAGAAACATTGAAATGTGTCAGCATCTTCAAGTTCCCGAGGGAAGACGGGATAGGCCCGGAAAGTAAATTCTGCGAAAGATCAAGGAACCGGATTCTGGAGAGATTTCCAAGACTAAACGGAATGCTTCCATTGATACGGTTGTGGTGCAGATCAAGAATCTCTAAGTTGGTTAAGTTGAATATGTTCTTAGGGATCTCTCCAGCTAATGCATTTCCTGAAACATCTCTGCAAACAAGAAAACATTGTAAGAATATCGAAAAGTGAGATCCATATGCGCAATCAGACCAACATAGCTCGGGTTTCGAGCAAAGAATTCACTCACAGTTCAAGAAGCACCCTGCAATTGACAATACCCTCTGGAATTTGACCGACAAGATTGAGGTTATGCAAATTCAAAACCTGCAGAAACTCGAGATTTCCTATCTCTACCGGTATTGTCCCGTCTATAGAGTTATTGCCTAATCTGATCACAGAGAGCTTCTCCATCTTCTCCATACCTCCCGGGATACTGCCATTCAGTTCATTAGACTCCAAGTCCAAAAGCTTAAGACTCTTGCAACCAGTTATATCGGTTGGGATACTACCGGTTAAACCATTCCACGAGGCATCCAAAAACTCCAAACTCTCACTGCATTCAACGATTTCGCCAATCTCTCCACCGAACAGGTTTCCGGAAACATTGAAATATGTCATGTTCTTGAACTGGAGAGCCTCAAAAGGTGCCAACCCGTCGAAAGAATTGCTTCCAATATCCAGCAGTTTCAACCTCTGGCATTTGGATATCTCTTCTTGCACATCACCCGATAATGCATTTCTTCTTACAGACACATATTCAAGAACTGGGATATTGCAGATTCGAGGCAACTGACCAGTAATGTCATTGTTAGAGAAATCAAAGCCTTCGAGATTGTTACAGTTCACAATCGACCCGGGAATTGTTCCAGAGAGATTGTTATGAGATAGTGAGACAAACTTTGTCTTGTAACAGAACTTAAACAAAGAGACAGGAATCCCTCCAAAGAATCCATTTTTGGACAAGTCGAGAAACCTTAAGCTAGGCAAGTCTCCTATGAACTCGGGGATGGAACCAGACAATGCGTTGGAACTGACATTGATTTTCCACAGATTTAGCAACTTGGAGTACTCCAGAGGTAGGTTACCTGTAAACCTGTTGCCAAATAGCGTCAAAACCCTCAAAGACCGGAGACCGGACAGTGCCGGCGTTAGGGAACCGGCGAGGCTTGTGTTCCAAAGCACAATCTTGTCGATGAACCCTTCTGGATTACAAGACACTCCATTGAAGCTCTTGCAGGAGTCGCCATTGGAGACCCATGAAGCCAAGCTGTTGTACGGATCATCGGTGATGGTCTCTTTGAATTGCAGCAAGATGTCTCGTTCCTCGGCTGTGTACGAGAAACACGGAGATGATGTAATGAAAATGGCAGTAATCACCGAAACCCAGAAACGATAATAAACCCTTCTCATGCTTGGCGAAATTGGATCTACCCGATTGGCATTATCGGCTCGCGGATCCGAATTCGAAACCGATTCGATAAACTACACCGTTTCTTCCACAGAAGTCGAAATTGGAGACGAAGAAGAAGAAGAACATCTGAAGGATGAGAAAGTAGCTGCATTAATGTCCTATCGTCACCAACCACAGCGAAAAATCCGAAATTCGAGCAAAACGGACACAGAATACCGACAGAACATAATGGGTCTTCTTGGGATTGAGCCAAAGCGGAGAAATTTCAGCTGCATTTTCCTCTTTTCAACCTCTTCACCAGGAAAAAACGAATCAAAACCTCGAGAAACAATTTAAGAATCACAAATTCTAGGAAAACCCAGGTTCAGAAACAGATAATAGAATCTGGGCTTTCTAGGTTTCCGAAACAAAAGCAGAAAAATTGTGAATTTTGAGAGAAGCTCAGAGAGAGAGAGAAAGCAAATAAGTACAGAAGATTAATGGAGAAATGGGTGTGAAGAGTGTGCCTTGGCTGGAAAGTAAGCAGGTGAATGAATTTAATACTCTCTCTCTCTCTCTCTCTGTCTTCTTCTTCTTCTTCTCTTCCTTCAGCAAAAGCTTCTTCTCTCATTAATGTCTGTATACAAATTATATATCGATATGTTTATATATGTGGCTTCCACCATATGACGAAGAACCACGTGCATGCCTTCTTCAACATCTATCTATATGGAGATGTATAAACATATATACGCATTTATGTACGCGTGTATCGGTGTATGGACGTGTATGCAATGTATGTATAGATTTACAGTGGGAGGAGGGGTGTCTGCTTGTCTGTACTACCAAAGCATTTATTCTCTCTCTCACCAACCGAGCTGCCATAAAATAATTGGAACCTAAAAATTGCAAAATATTAATTGGACACGACTTTTCAAAATATAAAAATAAAAATAAAATTCAATTTTTGCTGGTCCAAGGGTTAGCATAGTTCCACACATATTGAATGTATATATGTGTACAAACTACAAATGATGGTACATTTAATATTCCATTGCACATGAATGTCAGTCAGCCTCTAAGTAATCCATGATTAGATTAGATATAATTAACATAGACCGCAGAAATGGAGACCTACGTTAAATCATATAATATGTATATATATTAAGAATTCTTTTCACTAGGAATAATCACCAATGGCATAATTAATTTTCATCTTTTCGAAGATGACCAATTTATTACACTTAAACGCCCATAATTTTGAAGTTTGTAAAGAAAATGGGTTTACCTGTTAACGCCAATACTGTTGGGCAATAAAGTTAAAATTCTGTAAATTAAGGGGTACGAAAGAGAAATGAGAGAAGATAAGAGTAGAGAGACAAGACAGGTGGCCAAAACTGGAAGTCTTTTTGCCATTTGTTTTGTTTTGTTTTTGTTTGTCGTTTGTTTGTTTTTCTCCCTAATATGTATCCCTCCTTTTTTTTTCTGGTTTTGTTGACTCGTTCTTGATGTTCTTTCTTTTATTTCCCTGAACTTTTAAAAATTTCTAAATTAGTCCTCAAAATATATATAGGTTACAAGAACCCCCAAGTGCTCAATCGCATTTGCAAGTTTTCTCTATCCTTTTTAATATAATTTTGAAAGAAAAAAAAAATATATATTCTTTTAACTAAACATGATTTCATTCAATAACTGAAAAAAAAGCCTTAGGCAGTCTCATATATATTCGAAATGTAAAAGATATGAGACTGCCTAACGCTTTAAGTTTTTTTTTTTTTTTGATAACCGGATAATCCCAGACCTAAAGGACCCAGACTAATCCCGATCCACACGCACAACCGGCACCACACGTGTGGGATGTGAAGCACCCGAAGGTGGCCGGAGGGGAAATCTCCATACCCTGGGTGTTGAACTCACGACCTCTTGTTCAGGAAGTGGACTCTCAAACCAACAGAGTTGGGGGAGATCCCTAACGCTTTAAGTTGCAATTTTCTTGTATTTTTTTTAATATAATTCTGACGCAGTATATTGTATTTCGAAGAATAAATTTTATATAAGATACGAAAATAAATTTGGCGAGCAAACATACATACATACACACATGTTATATGTGCATGTGTGTGTGGATATATACGTTGTTTATATTCGTAACTTTTAATTGCAACCATAATATATATATATATATATTATACAAATATATGCGTACACATCAATAATGATAATTCATCGCAACGATTATCGATATAGTTTTACGAAATATAAATATTGGTCATCCAAAACATTTAATGAGATATGTGAAACGTTGGAAACTGTCGTGAGAACTTAGTCATGGGAAACAGATTTCACATTTACATACATTTATAGTACTATATTATACAAAATATACGAAAATAAATAGAAACAGTGGGGGGCTCATAAATTCCAATCCGACCGTTGATTTTGGGGATTGGGACCATATTTTACTCGGGCTGACTTCTCTTCCGAAATTTAATAACTTATAATTTGACCTACCTCCAAAATCTGAGAAACATTCTATAAAAAAAAAAAAATTATTACATACACATATATAGACAATAAATTTTATAAATAGGATCCTAATCAGAACCCACCAGATTGGGTATATATATATATACTAATACACATTCATATATATATATTATAATGTGTATATGTGTTTGGGTGGGTGCATCATCTTTTTCTTAAAAAATTCGATTAATTGGTAAGAATTATAAGAGTTTATTCCGTCTCTAATGTATATTTAGGACAGAGCGTCGAGTCTGTGTCATTTTCTGAGAACAATCTTTTTAACGTTGCACGTTTATAAATGCTGCCCAGCCTACCCTTATGAGTTTCATATTTTTTTTATTTTTTATTTTTGCATTTTTACCGTAAATAAAAACACCATGATTACGTTTAAGTTTTGTCCCTAAACAGCAATCGAAGAGCCATAACCATATGAACTAAGCAAATATCCAATGTATTGGACAAAAAAGATATCTAAAGCATATATATATATATATATATATATATATATTGTGTACACATATATGCAATCACATGTGTGTGTATGTATGTATGTATGTATGTATGTATGTATGTATTGATATGCATACATATACCCATTTTGTTTTTGCAAAAAATATATTATATATACGTTATGACGATTTTGTTTTGTTAAGTGTTGAATATTATATTTTGTCTTAATGATTGTTTTAAATATTTTTAAATATATTTTTAAAATAAATTAAATTGATAAAAAAAATTTATATTTTGAGTTTCTTTAATCAATTATTTTATAAATTCGATGAATAGCTTTTATTAAATAATAATCATGATAATTAAATGATTAAAAACATCTTACGATTTGTAATTTACATCGCAAACGCAAGTGTTATGAACAAACAAATCATGAAACAGTTACCCAACAGTTGGCGGGACAGTGATTGAGAGGTGACAAAGTCATACTCAAGGTCGTGGGTTCGATTCCACTGGTGGGGAAAGATGTAATTTCTGAATCAAAATGGTCTATATACAAAGGTTGGTCTCGGGGTTAGAGTGGATGTAGTCGGGCCGAAGACCCGAAGAACCTGGTTATAAAAAAAAAATCATGAATCAGTAAACGTGAATCGTTATAACGAGTATTCAAACGTATTGAGAACTCTTGCAATCACTGTCGCAAAGTAATGCGATACAACCAACCAACCACCCTCCCTTTGAGAAGTCGTGTGACGCAAAGAACCACATGATGATACGCGCGGTTGTACGTGCGTGCGTGCATGCATGCATGCATGCGTCGGTGTCAACTCTCTCGTCGTATATATATTCCCGCCGGTTAGCCTTCTAGTTTCGTATAATTTCTCCTCTCGCTTATCCCTTTGATGGTTAAGCGGTCCATTTCGTCCTTGTCACACAAAAAAATAATTAAAAAAATAGAAATAAAAATAAAAAAACTTGCAAAAGCAAAAAGAGAAAAGCAGGCGAGTCATTAATAAAAATAAGCAAATGCATGCATGTGGATCTGCATCATATATGTGCGTAAAGAGCTTTTCAAGTATGGAGAAATATATAAGCTTAAGTTTGGCTCACATGTTATATATATGATTGTTTGGACATTAACCTGTATCATTTTCTCCAACTTCAAAACCCTAATAAATAATTTGCATTCCTTATTATAATCTTGGGATAAAGTATCAAAATATTTCAGATTTACATATGTTTGGTCTAAATCCGATATGACCTATATGTTGTGTAATATATAAAGCGAGTAAAATGGAAAGCCGCTTTGAGAATAGGCCCATGCAGCGTCACGAGAAAGTGTTGTTGCGGCTGAATAATTTTGCTCTTTCAAACAAAGGCTGCATTATGAAAAATAAAATAAAATAAAGGCCGAGAAGAAAAAAAATTACATAAAGATTTCACATTAAGAAGACCCTCGGCTCATGCTTATATTTAACCATGCTAATCATCATCTCATGATAATAAAATCATCTTATGATATGGTGGATCGCTATTTCTCAAATGTACGTTGCCTCAATTTACTATATGATTCCCTATCATACGTAGTTAATAACATTCTTTCTACGTTAAAACACGATAGATGAATTTACATATTTGCTATTATTCGTCATTGTAATCGAATTTTTCCGACTATACCATCCAAAGGGTATCGTATTATCTTTCAATAAAAACTATAAATTAGAAATCTAATTATGAGTTGGGAGTGTTCGCAAAATACGAAAAATTCATGCAAATTCATGAATTCAAACTCTTTAATAATGAAATTATAATGAATTAATTACGATTAACAAAGTTCAATTCACTTCGCTCCAATATTTGAATGGAGAAACTTTTATTGGGGCTAATCTGCAAAAAAAATTTCTCTAAAGGGACCCCCATTTTCCCTTTTATTGATTAACCTTTTATCCCTTTTTTATTTCCCCACACCGCCAAAGCTTTTTCAGTCCAAACACGTTTATTCCCCCCCCCCTCTATAATTTTTACCTCTCAATTCAATTCACATTATTCAATTTTAAGCAAACTATCCCTATCGTTTAATATATATATATATACACTAATCTAACGTGTAAAACTAAATATGGTTAGGGTATATATATATACATGGACGGACCCCATCACATACCCCAAATTATATTAGAAAAAAATAAATTATTTATAAATTTAACAATTTTAAAAAAAAAATGGATATTATGCCCCCAATTTTATATTGTATCTATTTGTTATGATATGTAGATAAAATCTTTTTATTAGTTTTTTTATTAAATATATAATATGTGCCCCCAATTCAATTTTTGTGTGGGTATGCCACTGTATATATATTTCGAATTCACATGTTATAATGTATTTCCAACCGAGATCTATACATTATTATAATCGTGATCTAGAGTGTTTATTCCACCTTAAATATAAATAATATGTATCATGTAATCCATGTATAAATATATATATATTTATATATAGATATATATTGGTAAATAATCCATGTATATTTATCATATGGATAATGAGATTTATCAAAATGCACTAAAACCAGTTAATTAAACTGATTTCTTTAGGTATTAACTATGTTTTTTATAAGAGTATTAACTATATTTTTATTAACAGGCAAATAAACAAATTTTTGGTTAAAGCAAATAAACAAATTTGTGATGTGTATAATATTAAAATACCGTGTAGCTTTATATATATAGCTAACGTATAAGATTATTTTCTATATAAAAAGTATTTATTTCTTTAAATAATCCAATCCAAATTTGGTATACCACCAATGTGCCTCATCTCCCGTGACGGTGCCTGTATTTGTGTTTTATTCATAAATGGTTCACGCAACAACGTACGTAATTTCTGGGACCCGCAAAGGGTATTTACGTCAAGCCTTAACGGAGATGGGGCCCACTTCACCGGAGTTAGTTTTAACGGCGTCACACTTCACACGATTCCCTCCACTTCTCACTGCCACGGCAAACACTCTTTTTATCTGCAATTTTCCCGAGAAAATAAACAGGAAGAAGGAAAAAGGAGAGAATTTTTTGGGAACCAAACGGAGCAAAAACAGGAGAAGCTTCTTCGTTTTCGTCTGGGGGAATTTCTCTTTGTCCTTCTCTTTGTTCTTATGCGTTGAAGAATAATGGCTACGAGTGCAGGGAATTACAGAAGTGGGACGCACAAGAGCTCTCTGAGAACTCAGTGTTCTGGTTCCAGCTCGGGAGTCAAATCCTCCGCCAAATCGAAACCGACGCTTCGGAA